ACCCCATACCCCAAGACTGTGAGCACATGTGTTTGCACGTGGGTGCATTTCCTTCTTTTTTTTTTTTTTTTTTTTTACAAATGCTGCAATGTAGTCGTCCAGTCTCATTTTCGAAGGGTCCCAACGGATTAGCAAGGACCCTTCGTGGGACAGCGACTTAGAGACTGTCTATGTATCACCCACGGTCATGACCGCGGGTTTTTTCGCCGCATGCGAGCATAGTCATGCCCACGGGGGCCAACCGCTGAGGCCGAGTGTGGTCGGAGAACCCCACATTTTTAATTCCTAGGATAATAGGTTAAAAAAACAAAAAGCATATATAGGGTTGTAGGGTTTCAAAAACCCTACCTTCCTATAATTTTTGTTTTTTTTCATTTCCGTAATGATTTAAAAAAAATAAGTATTAAAATCAAAAGAAATATAATAAAAAAAGGGGGATTTTTTTTTTTTTTTTAAGATTGTCGGTGGAATAGTTGTAGTGCACATGATTCTTTGATTCTCTTTTTTTCCCCTATATATCAACAGAAAAATTTCCTAGAATTAAATAATCATTCTTGAGTAAAATTACATTCTAAATTTTAAATTTTCATTCCATCTTAAAAATTGTCATTCCAATTTTAAAATTTTTCGTCTTACTTAAAAAATTTCCTTCCAAAAATGGGGTATCCCTTCATATTTGAACTGCATGCTAGAGATGGAATGAAAGTCTGGATGAGTTCATGAAATATTTTAATTGGACTGCTATTCTAAGTAAGGATTTCCAGTCATAAATAGCTTAATCCAATCTAAATTAGACGATATTTGTTGTAGTAGAATGAACGTGTAATTAAAACATTTCATAAACTCGTCCAGACTTTTATTCCATTTTGAACAAATAGATGTAGTTGAAAGGAAAAACTCATATTTAGACGGGAAGTTATCAAATTCAATTGGAAATTTTAGAATTGGACAAACATTGGAATGATAATTTATAAATATGAAGGATTTTTTTTTTATAGAATGTTTTTTCAACATTCATTTCCTATGGGAATTTTTCTGTTGATGCAAATATAAAACGAAGAAAAAAGGGAAAAAAAAAAAACAAAAAGATATAATGAAAAAAAAAACAAAGTCATTTTTTTTTTTTTTTCCTT